CAGACGGCTTAGGCAAGTTGAAATGCAATTTGGATAAAAATTATGTGTACCTTCCCCTTGATATTGCTGATATCCTCCCATTGTTACATAAAGACTTCATTTATAGACCAATAATCTGAAAAGCAGGAACCTTTTTGTAACTCATTGTCAGAATCACACCAAGTACTAATATTTTATTTCCAGAAACTTCATTAAATGACTGGAGTTTTCCATCAAGTTCCTAATTAGATTCATGCATTGGCTGAAGAATATAAATAAAATAAGTGAAATACAGTAAAACCTCATTTTCACGTTCCCGCATTTTACGTTTTCCTGCCTTTTACGTAATTTTTGGTTGGTCCCGTTGAAAAGCCTATATTTACACTGCATTCTCTTCCCGCAATTTACAACTTGACCTGAAGAGTGCTTTCCGTCTTTTACGTCTTTATTTAAAATTTATTTTATTTTTTAACTTTGGTATACGTATACCTAGTGCTGAAAAAGTTATGTAATGCTGCGACAAAAAACGACGATTTTTCGACAGAAAAACTCGTACTGATACAGAAAAAGTGGATAAATCCCGTTCCAATATGTAGTAAATTATTACATATGTATGTAATGAACTCGCAAAAAGCTCGCGTTCGTTCAGATCAATCGAGGAATATCAATTTCTCGGAGAAAATCGGCAGGCAGTTCAGGAACTCGCGTTGACCACAGACGGGCAAACCGACGTTTTCGGCCAGAAAAAACTCCGTCAATCGATTTTGCTGTTTCAAGGACCCATACAACAGGTATTCAGGCTACATCACGTGTTAGTGAAAGTAATTTACTATATATAAGAATGTGATTTATCCAAATTATCATTACCAGGGCACGTCAATTGGAGATTTTCTGACGAGAATCGCCTATTCCGGCGCATGCTTTTACTTTCTCTTAAGAAGGACGAGAAAGCGAAAATAGAGTAACCATTGCGGTAAATAATGAAAGTACTCGCCTAGCCTAGCGTTTTTCACATTTCCTGTATTTTACACTTTCCTGAATTTTTCACTTTTTTTCATTGATCCCCTGAAAAGTGTAAAAGGGGTTTTACTGTAATTTTTTAAATATCTCAATTTCTAAAGAATCTTTATCCACAATAAGTGTCACAACTGTTATAACATAATCAGGCTCTTTCAATATTGATTAAAAACTGTGACCATACTTCTAATGTCAGTGCATTAGAAAACTTATTTGAAGTGCTGCAAATATCAATTTAACTTCCCATATTTTTTTCTAAATCATCACTGCTTGATTCTTAGCCAATCTGAAAAAGTTACTTATTCATTTACTCCCCCAGGAGATCATGCTAATCATACTTAGCCATAATAGAAAATGTATTTCAATGTGTGTGCAAAAGTTCACAACTGGAAAAAATTATTGCATCACTTGTGTGTGTTTTTTTCAGTTGTTTTCATAAAAATCCACATCCCACGTGAGTTTCAATATAAAACATGAGAGCCTAATTAGGTAGTGATCATGTTATATAACAAATATATGAATGTATGTATGTATGTTTACACACACACACACACACACACACACATCTTGAATAGTTCGTTATGAAACTTAGTTGAACCATACACTACTGGAGCTTCTCCTAGTTTCTGGATTGCTTTCAGGAAACTGCATTTCCAATTAACCTGTAGCAATTCCCAATCAGATTCAGATCCAACCTTTTTTCTGGCTGGAACTTTTTAAGTCTGTAGTAGAGTGCTGAATTATCATGAAAGATGCATTTTGTTTGCTGATCCAAAGGGTTGGAAATAGTTAGTTTTCCAAAATGTCAATATAAACTTCAGAATTTACTATTCCCATCACCATATGCAGTGCACCTACTCCTTTTATAGATATAACCCCAAACCATCTGACATTCAGGAAACTTCACTTTAGGTTCAATAAGGAGAAATTTTCTAATCTTTTAAGGAGAAATTCTTTATCACTTCAACGACAAACAAAGATCTTGCCATCTATTTCCATACATATTGAATTTTGACTCCTCCATGAACATTAGTCATGCACTTCAGCTCATTCGGCCTTCTCCTTTGCCGTTTTAATTGAGCATGTTTCATCTATGTCAAGAAAGGCTTCTTCCATGGTCTTCTTGCATTCAGTCCTACTTCCAATAACCTGCTTCGATCAGTTCTGCTCCCAAGTACAACACCAGCTGTCTTGTTTGCATGAGGGCATACACCTGTTCTTTATGGAAGTTCTGTTTTCTGTTATTATGTTTTCTCTCTTATGTCCTCTTCCCTGTCTTCTGTCAACAGATCTGGTTTCTAAATGTTTCTTTGACAGCTCAGCTCTTGTAGACATTCACTCAGAAGTTAGAGCGATAAAAACACCTTTTTTTCGAGAAGTTAATTCACCACTCTTTCCCATTTGTGTAACTTGTCACTACAGGAGTTGATAGGAAACGAAATCTCCCCCTGGCAGTTACATCTTGGTTACAGGTAACTATATTTCAGAAAATCAAGTGATGCAATAATTTTTTCCTGTTATTATAATCTTTGGCAAGACAACTCAAAAGTCAAAGGCAATCATGTGAGTTGTCCCTTCTGTTTACCAGTGGGGCTTGCAGATGTGATGCATGGTCAGCGCAACTACTCCCCTATCTTGATTTATTAGACCGATGATGCCACAGATTAGTATCTCCTTAATTTGTGCTCACGAGGCTGAGTGTACTCAGTTCCAGGGCCAATCCTAAAGTGAAAATTTCTCAGGATCGCCCAGGAATTAAATCCTGGACCTCTGTATCTAGACCTCTAGATCATAGCTAGTCATGCAATAGGAGGTGGTAATTTTTTCCAGTAGTGTAAATAATATTGTGTGAGTTGTTGGACTCCTTCCCAGCTCCAAATAAATGATGGGAAATTTACCTAACAAACACAATGACAATTTTATCACTACATGAAATGGGAGCACATTAAATACTTCCAAATATCATTACACATTACTTACAAAACATTACATTATTAGTGTAAGCCAAGAAGAAAACTGCATATACTGACATCTAATACAATGTTTCCCCCTTTATAGCTAGGAACAGGAACACATCCATACCAAATTTTCCCACATTGACATTCCATTTCAGCTTGTTTGAACTATTAATTTCAGAATACTTAGCGAGGTGTTCTAAACACTAATTAGTACAAGTTTCAGGTTAAAACAGGACATAGGTAATTCAGTAGTATTGCAGTAGCCAGGAAGAACTGAAATATTTCAGACCAATGTCTGAAGCATGGGCTGCTGAAAATCATTGCTTTTTAGTTGTGATTTTTTTATGAGAAGCCTGTGGTTTTCGTTAAAAAAGTCAGAAGACATACATAATGGAAAAATAAAATATGCCAGGATTTAAGTGCCACAACGTGTATATTAAGGTGTGGTTACTGTTGTTTTGATTATCAGGACCAGTCTTTGATACTAAAAGAACAATGAACTAATTGCTTTCCGTAATGAGGCATTTGTTTTTCATTTAAGTTGGTTCAGGCTCATTGGAGAAACCCAAATTCTTGATAACTGTTTGACTTTGGGTTCAAACTTGTCTCCATGGTTTGTCTCCTGAGGGAATATCTTAAAGGTCCATTGAATGTTCTTATTTCAATCTTTGTGTTCTTTCACCATTTTACTTCACATTTTTTTCTGCATACATAACTGCAGACCTTCCTGCTGTGATGACTTTCTGTCAGGATTTTAGTTCCTACAGAGGAATCAGTAGTGAAGATTTGATCTCTCTGCTGATAACTGGAATCACAGGAGACCTTGCAGCATTTTACATACAAAAGAAGTCAGTTGTTCTGTGATTGCTGTTGGAGAATATGATACAGTGATCATGCCCAACAACTTTTTGTTAATTTACTCTTAATACTTTACGTTCACTTTCCTTTGTTAGGAGAAAGAATGTAATGTAAAATATCAGGTAATGTTGCTGTTTAGCATTTGACTTTACAACATAAAAAGAAAATGGTGGAAAGCGCTCTGTGAGCTCCATGACAAACAAACCAAGACAAATCTGCATCTTGTATAAGCTGATGTCTGGCATCTGTACATTCCACAGTGACAGTTTTCTAGAGAAAAGGCGTATCTCTAAAATACATGAGGAATCAAAGTGCAGAAAATATTCAAGGAAATGGCTTGTTATAACAAAATGTATGATTTTCATATGAGAGTACCCCCAAGCAGAACCAAAGCATGATGCTCATAATATTCTCTGAGCATGATGTCAACATGACTTCATGAAGGTCAAGGAACTTCAACACTTCAATGAAGGCTAAGTCATCTCAAGTTGTTTCTCTAATAAATAAAAATATCAGTAAAGACATCAACTACATTTGCTTGAGAGAAGTAAATAGGTGGCAGGCAGCAGTTGTATTAATTTTTTTTAATGTAATGTGAATCAAATTAATAAATCATAAATAGTTACAAATATGGAGAATAATTCTAGATTAATAATTTATTTTGCGTAGAGGTACCAACTACAATTTGCCCACAATAATTACGAATTTCACCTCACTAATAAAGCATTTGGATTGAAAAACAGTCTAGTTTTGGATTAATTTAAGATTAAAATTCAAATTGAGCTTATGTAGGTACCATGTCCTTCCAAAGTTAATGCAGACTGAACTTGCTTAACTAAGACTCGGGTAAAATAGATTCAGGAAATAATTATGCGTTCTGTCAAGTCAACACATAATTTCTAGAGTAAAGGATTGAGACTGTTGTAACACATGTATGCAGAGCTCATTGTCTTCCAGGAAAACAATTGTTTGCTATCAATTCAGGAAAGTTTCAAGAGGTTTGTTTTGTGTTTTCAATTACACTACATGTTACTTTCAGTGTATCTCTTGGTCCTCTTAAGACTAAGGGGTACATCAACACAAAACATCAACCTGGAACTTTGCTCATGATCTGATGTTCCTCCAGGTGCCAGAGTCTTGCATCTACTAAAACATTTTTATTAAATGTTGTATTTAATGTGCCTGCAGGACATTCTGGACCCATCACTGCTATTTCATTCTCTGAAAATGGTTATTATCTTGCAACGGCTGCTGATGATGCCTGTGTAAAACTCTGGGATTTACGTAAACTTAAAAATTTCAAGACTCTGCAAATGGATGAAGGTTATGAAATCCGTGATTTGTGTTTTGATCAAAGTGGAACTTACCTAGCAGTTGCTGGCACTGATGTTCGGTAAGTCAGAATTACCAAAGTTTTTTCTCTGTAGTATCATTTCATTCTTAGTTATGTTAATTTAATTTTGTATCTCAATTTTTTAGGGTTTATCTCTGTAAGCAGTGGCAAGAACTGAAGGTATTCAATGATCATACTGCAATGGCAACAGGAGTGAGATTTGGTCGCCATGCTCAATATATAGCATCCACTAGTATGGACAGAACTCTCAAACTCTACGGATTATAAATTTTTTACTTCATTATTTTTATTGCAGTCCCATAGTTATGTGGGATTTAATCTTGTTTTATTTCCATGTGAATTTGAATATTATGTATAAGAGGTATCTTTTCAGAATGGAGAAAATGATACAGAAAAGTATGAAGTTTTGCATACAAAATTGTTGAGTTTCTATCTCAATGAAAGGTTTTAATTGTTTGCAAGAAAGGAAATTTGAATTTATGTAATAATATTTTTACTATTTGCTAATTTTCCTTCATAGAAATATAGTGAAATTTGAATTCAGGGAGAGTTGAACATGAGATGATTGATAGTTCGACTTGGTGTGCCGATTGTATGACACCAGTGATATTTGTAATGTGTCGTAGAATAAATGTGAAGTTCAGTTGTAATTTTCTACTTTCATTAACACAAAACTCCTTCCACTTCTGATCCTTTTAACTTGTCTTTCCTGAATTTTATTTTGAAGAGCAATACAAATCTTGTAATGAGTGTCTGACTTGAAATGTTCTAAAATAATAGTTTTTTAAACAGGGTCAAAATTATTTAAATATATTGGAAATTACGTTAGTTTGATTTAAAGACCATTTGTTTTTATTATTTTGTTTTGGCAAGACATATTTGAACTTCAAGGGAGATCTAAGGAGAGACTTAATTTAATCTGTAGGTGAAGTTTTTTGCTTAGCTATTGTTTCCAGTTTTTCGGGCAGAATTTTCATCATCATACGTAACATGCTTTATACCAAAAAAATTAACCAACATTCAGTAAAATATTGTGTGGGCAGATAGTATATAAATACTTGTTATTGCTTTCTATATGCTTGTTCAATAGTTATGGAATCTCACTTCTCCACCATTTTTGTTTTTATTACTTCTTTCTCTAAGCTTTGTTCTTTTAATTGTATTGTTTCTGTGCTGTTCCTGATTAAGGTGTTCTAGAAACTTCATTTGTTAAAAGAAATGTGTATAAAGTCAATTGTTTTATAATTCTTTTTAATATTTGAATTAATGTGATACAGTAATTTGTAAATCATGCATTATCAAACAATTTTATGAATACTTTGTGGTTTGATCTAGAAAATGTGCATATGTACCTATATTTTTTATAATAAATAATGTAATGTTTTGTTTTTTTTAGCTTTAAGCTTGTTTAAGAAGTATTTAAAGATTTTGGGGTGAAGCAAAACAAAAATTGACTGTGCTAAACTAATTGCCACCCTACTGCCTACTGATGTATTCGGCATTTAGGGTTGATAAATCAACTTTGCTAGCCATTACAGAGTTCCCCATGCCTGGGTCTAGTTAAATTCCCATGCTTGGGGGTAAGAGTGATATGTGGCGAACATGATGTATTCCCATCGCCGGAAAAATTGTATGTTCATAATTGTAGTTGCAGGAAGATGCCGGGAAAAAAATTGAATTTTTTCAATTGTCGCAAAATTAGTTTTCAACCAACATAAGAACCGCATCATTTTCTTAAATATCCTTCAGACTATCCGTCAACAAAATTTCATCAAAAATGATGGAGCCATTTTTCAGAAAAAAAAAATGTTGATTAAAACTTAAATATTGCCTATATTTCACGCAACATTACGGGGAAAATACTAAAATTTTCGAAAAATTTTACGAGACCTTATTTCAAAATCTATCTTTATGGAACATTTCATTAGGGGAAAAAATCTTTATCTTTAATATTTTAGTTGTAGAAAGAGGCCGAAATACATTTTGAACTTTTTCAATTTTCTAGAAATCAGTTTTGAACCAATATGAGACCTGCGCCATTCCCTTCAACGTCATTTAGACTACCCAACAACAAAATGTAATCAAAATCGATGGCACCATTTTTTTTAATGTCCCATGGGCTTCACGGAAAGAACGCCCCAAAATTCAAATTCAAGGAGCCTCGACAACAACCAGATCATATTGATGAATATCAATTTTGGAGAAAATCGGCTGAACAGTTTAGCCGCTTGCGTTGTTCACAGATGTTTTGCCGTCAATCGATTTTTCAATGTCAAGGACCCACGAAACTGGGATTCTGGCTCCATCACGTTTTAGAGGATTTCGTTTTCTAAATTTGGCATCTGGATTTATCCACTTTTTCGTTATACCAGGGCCCTGTAGTGGGAGTTTTCCTACTGAAAATTCGCCATTTATTCGCGCTGCATTACAGAACTGTCTCTTCTGAAGAAGTTCCTACTTAAACGCGAGAAGGTAAAAATCAAAATTGTGCTGACAAGAGGTAGAATTTTTAAAAGGCAAATACATCGAGTATTTGCATATTTGGAGAACGTAAGGTATCACTTCCTTAATTGCAATTGTTTTAATTTAAATATTTGTCATTTGTATGTTTTGGTGAATGGCTAAATAGCATGATTATGTGTGAAAGTGGAACATCAGCCCATTCGATCATCGTGGGTATACAGCAGGTAACATTGATTAAGAATCATGGAGGAATTTTGGAACGTTACATGAATTTTTATATTACTGCATTTTTTCACGTTCAGAATCTTCAAGTTGGGAGCCCTGGGTAGGGTATTTATTCTTTTGACAGTTACGATGGCTGCAAGCTGAAACTATATTCATACTTCCCTTCTGTGTCACCAGATTTTCTTCCTAACGCGCGAGTCCGTGGTCTGCGCTTCTTTATCAACCGTTGACTGGACATTCGCATCATTTAATGACAGTGTAATACAGTTAACTGTGAACAGCGTACCTCTGCTCTGCGGTAGAGATCAGCAAATTTTCCAAAGCTTGGAAATTTTCGTTCAGAAGCATCTTTAAGCCCCTTGGGGGCGTTCAGCGCTTGGGGTAATCCTCTGTTTACAGTATGTCATGTCACGTCTCGCCGCACTCAGTTGTCAAGAGGACTGCCAGGTAAGATCGCGAACGCGCTTCGGACCACGCGCTCCTGCATCTCTACGCAATGGCCAGAGTTGTGAAAGAATCAGGGTAGGGGTAGGGTTATGACCCTTCGCAGGGGTTAGACTAATCCTTGCGAAGCAGCGAAACTCCATTTTGTTCGAACAAATTTCACATGAGATTGATCGGGAATCGAACCCGGACCTTCGTGGCGAAAGGCGAGCAACTTCGCTCTTGAGACACAAGATGACTACCACTTCGACACTTTATAACTCGCGCAGCGAATCAGAGAGTATATAGCGCACTGAGTGCACGACCAAATGAAAGATGATTTATTTACTGATAAAACCAAATTTTTAATCTGTGTCTAATTCAGTCGCTGTCTGGAGGAGAATTCTAGCTGCCGGATGCTCTGGATAGTTTTCCGTGGTTTCTCCAATCAACACTAGGCGAAAGCCGGAGCAATACCCCCAAACAAACGGGCTGTGTACCGCGCGCAGTCCTTCCTTCCTCTTCCTTGTCCTATCATAACCCCTTACTTACACACACTGACATGCACTACACTACTCCACAAGCCGGGAGACCGGTCGGGAGTTTAGAGATTGTCCCGACTGGGAGAAATCCCCGCTGGCCAACGGTATATCCCGTCATCCAGCGAGGGAAGACCACCTGCACAACATGTACTAAACTTACGGGACTAATGGCCTTATACGTTGACGCGCCCGAAATCACTAACAATCTACATATTAAAGACATTTATTTAGAAAAATGACAATTTTTGACATGAATCATATTCAATTTTTTTACTTGTATGTGAAACTTTTAACAACGTGTTTCGATATTTTAGGTCCATCTGAATATGTGAATATGAGTGTGTAAATTGTCTGAGAAATATGTTTTCTGTCCATGAATTTGTGATACATAGAACATCTTACTGTGGTGTTCACATTTTTGGCTCTGCTACACGGCACCCATTGACCTTTTGTCTCAGTGAGATCATTTAATACAGTTTGCTTTTCTGATGTTTGTCCAAGTAAGTTTGCCATAATTGCTTTTACATTCAACAGGAGTGTTTTAACATGTACTTGCTCAACTAAAAGTGTTTTTATGAGTTGTAATGATGCATTTTTCAAGAAAGTTTATCAAGGAAATTTCTGTTTTATATGAATAAAACATAAAAAAAATAACAGGTACCTATGAGTTTTTATACCTGTTATATTCAGTGACATAAAAATATTAGAAAGCCATCTTTGAATCCTAGTGACAGTATAGGTACTGCACTGCACTTTCAGCAATTATATTCCCTAAGAGCTTCAGGCTTTCCTGTTATTTAATTTATGTGATCATGAAAATTCATGTTTGATAATAGTCCTACTGCTTTGTTTTTCTTGGGTACATACAATGAGATAAAAATCTATGCAATTGAAGCTCGATGGGTACATATGATACTATCATCATCTTTTTCTGAAGGTCAAACAAAGATGGATTTAGAGATTTTGTTTTGGAAGGGAGAAATTCTTTGTGTATTTCTGGTTTATTTTGTTTTAAAGTCCTAAAATATGTGAATCCTTTTGAAAGATTTTCAATTAGTCAACAGCTACAGTTCCAATTGTCAGTCATAATGTTTCGTGAAGAATTTTTCAAATGTTCAGTCAATCTACTAACGGTTTGATTGGCAGAATTTTTCACAAAATATGGTCCATTTGGTTGGATTCCACAATAAAAGGAGTTGCGTAATAAAATAGGCAAAACTGCCCCCAGATGATACAAATTGTGTTAAAAATCACAATTGAAGGGGAAAAAATAACTTTTGTGCTAGATTTAAATTAATTTACCTGGAGTACTTCGTTCAAATAAAAAAACCACGGGTTTTTTAGTTTCTTAGATAAGTTTTAATTTCTTTAACCATGTTATGACTATGAATATTGACTTTAATTATTCTTGCAATTTTCTATAGATAAAGATGTTTCGAGAACTTATCAGATGTTTATGACCAATTTTGACCCTTACAATCAACAAAAAAAGGGGGAGAAATAGAAAAAAAGTTTAATTTCCATAAATATGTTAACTCACCAATACAAATGATGTTTTCATTTATTTCAAAATTTACAATGATGACAAACATTGAACACTTTAGACAAACTGTATATTATTACTGTTTGTATGTTTCAATAAAATGCGTACCTATTCTTTTCTTATTATATAATGATACGAACTTTGAAAAATATCGGTGTTTTACTTACGAAGGAAAGTCCAAAAGTTCCTGGCCTAAGAACCAAAGAAGGAAGTTCAAATAAATTACACTAGTCAATATACATTTTGGGGCTGCAGATATTAAACTTTTTTCTGAGTATTTTGATATCACTGATTCCAAAAAATACATTAGTTTTGCCTTATCAGCTCTAGTTTGGTAAATATAAAATTATCAACACATACCCACTTCCCCACTGTGTGTGCTAGAATTTGGGATCGTCAATGACATGTGAACACAGCATATTTACTCTCCTGATGTTAATTTGTTATAAAATGAATATGATTTTATAAATGAAATATTTTAAGTAGTTAATTATAAACCACATAATTTTTCATCAAAATGCTTTAAAAGTTCTCAAAATCCACCATTCATTCAACACCCCAAAAAATTTTTAAATAGATTTATTGGAGTGAGAAATG